TTTTTTTAAATGATATTATAATACGGGAGATTTACGGGAAAATACTCATACGGGAGGACGGCGGGAAAGAGGGGTAAAATACGGTAGTTTCCCGGCCAAAACGGGAGACTTGACAGCTATATCCCCACCCCTGCCCTAGAGGGTGCAGAATGTTTTCCGTGCAACAGATCTACACACAGAGCGCAAATAAATGTTTTGTGTGAGTATGTGTGTCGTTTTCATAAAGGAGATGACAGCTCTTTAAAAATGGAAGGTTACTGTCTTCCTTATAAGCCACTCTTGGTTAAATACCAGCAGCGACATTAAGAGAGAAGCCAACGATTTAAACGACACTCATGGTTACATGTTAACGAAACGCAAACGTTACACTGTCACAACATTTGCTATTAACAGAAATATACAAATATAAATGTGCAGTGTGGTGCAGAATCTTTCAATTATTGCATAATTAGTCCTGCTGACCAACCCCACAGCATCACATTAGTGTCTGCCAATCATGGACAGTGGGATGGGAATAAACAAAAAGTAAAAAGTTGACTTCAAAGACCCAGCACAGGCGGCGTGCCAAAACAGTGATCGCCAACATTGTACTGCAAAAACGACGTTGATTCCCTCAATTTCTTTTGAAGTATACGGCAGGAGCATACTGCATCTTTGTGGGGTCGGTACGCTTATTTAAGGGGGCGTAATTGCACTGTGGGGGTTTCCTGACAGCTTTATATGTCTGATTCTCCTCGCCGCGTTTGCTTGGGAAACTCAGTGGTGTGTGTTTTGTGATTCGGTAGCCGGGCCAGCAGGGGGCGCTGGTGTAGAAGCAGCAGCGTCAGACTGGAGGAAATGTGATGCAGTGGCCAGGGTACTGGCGGCCTGCCCCCAGCAGTCCCTCTCGGCAGAGGACTACTACAGCCAGGTTTGCCCTCAGGTACGGACGGTCAGCGTTGTCATTCATCCATTTCGTTCATAGACAGGAACAAAACTGGAAAATATGTTTACTTGTGAATCTAAGGTGTGTGAATGTGTGCCTTGGAGTGGACCTGCACCCTATACAGGGTGTCCCTTGCCTTGTGCCCTGTACTTCCTGGAATAGGCTTCCAACAGTCTGCTTCCCTCTTCTGGGTGAGCTGCCATGGAAGGTGGATGAATCCCTTTCCATCCTGTGTTAGATTATAAGTGCACGTGAGGTTACACTGTTTGTTTGTCACCGTTCAGGTGTTGGAGTTACTGCACTTCAGAGACAAGTTGACTGCACTGCAGTTCCAGCGAGTGGCCACCAGTGCGGCGCTCACCATGGTCCAGGAGCAGCCCGAGCTTGCCAACCGCTACCTCCTCACGCCCCTCCTCTCCCCTCTGGTCTGCTGTGGGGGGTCTAGTGGTTAGTGATCCGTTTCTAACCGTGATCACTACAAACGGTTTCCACTGTATGTATTTATTTGCCATACTTGAAACCTCAACTCAATCATTTATATCCGGATTCTCAAAACTCAGCTTGAAAGGTCTTTACAGAGGAACAAAGCCTTGACTGTATAGGCTGATTTACACTTCTGCATCGAATTGACACCATAACGGTTTCGTAGCCCTGGACTCTATGCTGTTTTTATTATAAGCCACTCTTGGTTAAATACCAGCAGCGACATTAAGAGAGAAGCCAACAATTTAAACGACACTCATGGTTACATGTTAACAAAATGTGCCCCCCCCCAGAAATTTGACTACACGTCATTGGTGATTGAACCTGAAGCGTTAGTTATATCTAACGTTAAATATCTAAACCTATTTAACGTTAGATATAAGTAACGCTTTAGTTTAATTTTCTCTCGCTCCTCCATAATTTGCGCTAAAGTTTGTTGTTGTGGTCTTTCTCTGCTAGCATTAGCAACCTCCATGTACTCTGGAGCGTCGTTTGATGAAATTACCTGTGCTAAGTGGCGTGCTGTACCTTCCACCTCTTGACACAGCAGAAGAGACCTTGCATTCCGACAAAATGCCGTGGTTTTAAGTTTTAACGTAATGTTGCAATTAAATGGTATCGGTTCTTGGTATCGGACAATTTTTCGAGTATGAGTATATGAGTGCGGTACTGGCCCCATACCCGATTGGTATCGGTGCATTCCTAATAAATACATTTTACATTTTTTTTCCCCATTTAATGGGAAATAACATCCAGAGTTCGCTGTAGAGAACTCACTCACCATGTGAACTGGAGATCTGGTGATTTTCTGCAGCGTGCAGTGTGTCCAGCGTCAGCTGCCTGAGGCAAGCAGAGCGCAGAGAGCGACACTGCAGCGTGCAGAATGCAGTGTGAGCCCTTCACTTTGAGGACACTGGCGTTCCCCTTGCAGGACCTTGTTTTGTGCAGAATAGAGCTGAATTATGCTGTTTATAATTAGCAGTTACCCTGAGTATTTAAAAATGCTAAGTTTTTCCTCCATTAAAAGCAGAGCAAATAAGTTAATGATCAGTGAAATTTATTGAAAAGGTATTTGAGGGGTAGTCCTGAATAAATCAATTGCGCACACACGCACACTCACATGTACATTGGCTATCTATATTTTTATGGGGACTCTCCATTCATTTGTAGAGCATAACCTTAATCATAATCATAACCATAACCCTAGTCCCAGCTAGGGTTCATTTGGTCCACCTTAACCCCTACCCAGCCCTCAACTTAACCACGAGTAATGAAAAAACACAAGACTTTTTTTTAGGCATTTAGACGTCTGTGGAGATCCTGGCCAATAAGCACACCTGCTTGTTTAGGTTTCAGCCAATGAACACTCCTGCTTGTTTAGGTTTCAGCCAATGAGCGTGCCTGTTTTTTTCTGTGTGTTAGCCGGGCGGCCTGCCTCTGTGGAAGAAGAGGAGCTGACACGCTGTGTCGAGGATGTGTACAAGGTGGGTGCCACCCGAATCGTGACTCGCCGTACCGCTGACGGGTGTGTGTGCGCCGTCCTTTGGCCTTGGTGCATCGCAGCTGTCGTGCCCTGTGACTCTGTCTCTTCAGCTGCTCGGGGTGCTGACATTTGAATCTCTTCTGCCAGAGCCAGTGAAGTGTCTTTAAGATGAACAGTAGTGCAAGACAAAGAGTAGTGCAATATAGGACAGTACAAGACGGCAGTGCAACACAAACTAGTGCAATACAGAGGCTCCCCGGGTTATGACACGTTTATTGGAACGTAACCCTATCGGAAGACGAATATATGTTAAGGCGAAAATGCCCCCTAATGAAGCACATCCCGCCTCCTGATGAAGCACGTCCCGCCCCCTGATGAAGCACGTCCCGCTCCCTGATGAAGCACGTCCCGCTCCCTGATGAAGCACGTCCCGCCCCCTGATGAAGCACGTCCCGCCTCCTAATGAAATCTTCCCCAGTCGCTGCTCTGGAATGGCTTCTTGCCTCACTAATCTAAGACTTATCATACGGAATACATGTTTTATTAAAGATTCCCCCCCCCACCCCCCAGCAGCCAAAGGCTGTGGTCCGGAGGGGCAGCTTAAACTTCCACACGCAGGCTGTCGCTCAGTTTAACCCCTTATTGCAGGTTGCCTCCAGCACTGACATGACTAACGATGCCCCTCCCCATTCGTACTCAGATCTACGTGGTCGGGAATCGGCCTGGTCCAGCTCTGTTAAAGTCCCTGGCAGAAGGGATTCCTGTCCTCTTCAGTCTGTACTGTTTCACCATGCAGAACGTCTCCCACTTACGGTCAGTTTGTGTCCCGACAATTGACTTTGTATTTTTCTTTTTCTTTAATTTGTTTGAGATTATATTAGTCATAATGATATTAATAATACTGTCAATGATGTTATTAACAAAAATATCAGTAATAGAAAAAAGTGGAACTCTTAGGACTCAGCAATGGTGTTTACCACCACTCAAACTATGAATTTATGGGGGCCCTAAGTTTTGGGGACCCCTGTTGGCCACAAACAGTCACTACAGTGGGTGGCAAACCTGTCCCTCATGGGACTGTATGAGGCTTGGTTTTTATTCTGGCTTTTGGTGGATATGTTTGAATAATGGGCAAAATCTTCTAATTTTCTTCTCTTCTTCTTACAGCAGAAGTATGTTATAAATATTATTGAGACCATAGTGGAATGTTGCTGCGGTTACTATTGCTGAGGAAATGGTATAAAATGTTACTCATGAGCATAGAAACTTACTCAGGTTTACTGTTACATTAGAAAGCTTTTATAAGCTGTATAATTATATATTTGAATTTCATGTGGATGGTCAGATATCAAAGGTCATCAATTAAATTATTTATGGTTCAAGTTTTATGGCACTATGGCTGAGTGGGTGGTGTCGTTTCCTCACACCTCCGGAGTTGGGGGTTCGAGTCTCTCCTCTGGAGCGTGTGCAGTTTTCATGTTCTTCCTGTGTCACTTGGGTTTCCTGCTGCAGTCCAAAGACATGCAGTCAGGTTAATTAGCATCTCTAAGTTACCTGTACTTTGTAATGTCTGTGCCCTGAAAAGGGCCGGCATCCCATACAGATTCCATCCTCGCTCTGTGCTCTTTGCTGCTTGGGTTAGGCTCTGTAAGGATGCTGACCCGATGATGGATGGATGGATGGATGGTTGGTTTCAGTTTCAGTTTTTACCTAAAATCATTGAGAGTCAGGACGTGAGCTCAGCGCCTCCGTTGTTGTTGCTGCGGGCGTATGGTGACAGCTCTCTCTGTCTTCTGCAGAGCTCCTTGCCAGGAGATCCTGCTCTGGTACCTGTCACACCTCGATCCTCCTGATGCCCTGGGATGCCTTCGGCGCCTCAGCGGTCTCAGCAGTCCAGGAAGTGTCCTGGCTCCAGGGTTTGAGTTCACACCCGGAAGTGAGGGCGGAGCTAAGCTCACGCAAAAAGTGACGGACAGGTATGATGTTACTCGTCTGGAACGTGAGTAATGGCTGGTGTAATGTGTACCGACAGGTAAAAATCAAAAATTGGCCCAGGTTAGGCTTAGTAAGTCAGACTGTTTTATTGTGATCCCCAATAATGACACAAAGAATGCCATGTAAGCTCATTCTCTTTAATGCTTTTTAAGATACTTTGGTATCTAGTTCAGTTGTTTTGTTGTAGGGAAAATTGAGGGTGAAATTCACCAATGTTTGTGGTCGAACCACTGAAAAAGCTTTATTTCAATGGATAATTTAATGACAAAATTGTAGGGTAAAATAACGACGAACGTGTATGATGGCAAAAAGAATAAGAGATCCTTTAAAAAAAAGTTTTCTAATGTGACATTTCTAGATGGAGAAATGCAAAGTTGAATCTGGAGTCTTCTGGCCAGTTTTTACACGTTCCTCCCGTGCTTCCCTGCTCACTTTCAGTGTGAACCACCTCCTTTACGGCATGTCCGCATTTACAGCTTGCTGGCTTAACCGACAGGCAGGCTACCAGCTCTTCCTCCCCTGTCAAATGCAGAATTGGTGTCAGCCAATACAAATGCAGCAATGAAGTAAACAGGCAGTTTCATTGGTTAGTACAGAATATGGCCAGCCCCTTTTTGATCGTCGCTGCCAAAGCAGTAATGATCTATGACCCAGTCAAGCTCACTATGGTTTTGATTTGGTTCCAGTCGGATATAGTTATATGTGGGACCAAGCACTTCCTTACCTCGCTCTCATCTCCCTCCATCCCTTCCTCTCCCTCAGTCATGAAGATGATGCTCTCTATGAGAAGGTGTCTGGGGAACAGTGGGCAGTGGACTGCCTGGTCCAGCTGCTGTGTGAGCTGAAGGACAGCCATCTCCCCGGAGACTTCTTCCTGGAAATGCTGAAGGTGCCAACCACTGAACTGAAGTCCGAGCTGAACGTCAAAGCCAGCCTGCTAGTGTAGCATTGCTTAATCTCTTCTGTCTTATGCTGGCATACGCATAATATGTATTCTGTCTTACATCGACACATGTGTAATAGTATTTTTTTCAGTGTGTTTCTATATGTGTGTTTCTCTGTCTTTATCATTGCTTAGCTTGCGCTGTCCTTCAGATATACCTACCAGATAGCGGCACATCCAGACCAGGATTTTGTTTCAACCAACCAGTTGAGTACTCTGTGACTGTGACTCTTTATGCTCAACTGGTTGGTTAAAACAAAATCTTGGTCTGGATTTTTACTTTCTGGACCTGTAATGCCCACCTCTGGATAGCAGCTCAGGTTAAGTTCCTTCTTGGGGTACTAGAGCGATGTGTGGCTCAACAAGGTAGGATGCTGTGTCTGTAATCGGTAGGTTGCCAGTTCAAATCCCTGGGCTGGCAGAGTGATGTCATTGTTCGGCCCTTGAGCGAGGCCCTTAATTCCCACTTGTTCCGGAACATGACACTGCTTTCTCAGAAATGTCTGGTGCTTTGGATAAAAGCACAAGCAAATGCAATGTACATTATGAAGCTGCAGAAGTCCCTGTTCAAAACTCCAAGCTACCTGCTTTCAAAAAAGAAGAAAACAAGAGTTTTGAATTTAATGAGGTGCTAAGGGTGTGTGCAGAATGATGAGTCAGAGATGGTGTACAGCCAATATGCTTAACAGGGAGAGTTAAGATTGGCTTGACCATCAGAGTGAAACTTTGATGGTGACAGGAGACAGGTATATGAAGAGCGAACCAGAGAGTATGTGGGGATCTGTAGCTCAGTTTAACCCCTGTATCTGTATCTGTATCTGTGTCTCTGTATCTGATTTCCTGTCACATGTAGAGTGTGGTTTACACTGACTCTTAAGAGCTGCACTCGCCTTGTCTAAACTCTCTTTTCCAAATTATCTAGAGCACAGAAAAATGTCTCTCTGATAATGAAAAATGACTCGACTCACTTCTCACTAACAGTGCATGAATAGGCTTGACTTCAGAGGACAGTCCATTCCTTACGCACAAATATGGGCAGCCTGTTGCTCAGAAGGAAGCGCTGGGGTGACGCCCCCTATTGAGTGGGTGGTTGAATTGCAGTGTGACAGTAGTCGCATCGGTTTCTGCACTTGCGACCCGTACTCTCAGGAACCGCTGGAGGGCGTCACCCTCAGTGCCTCTGACCGGCTTGGTTCCGCAGACGGGACTGGGAGAAGCCCTCAGGGACGGCACGTAAATTAGAGGTAGCTGTCATCAGTTGTTTCTTTGAAATTAAACGTGTAAGGCGTGTTTCCCGGTGCGGGCCTGTCTACATTACCTTGAATGCAGGTTTCAGAAATAATGAATCTGCTTCTCCTGAAACGGGTCACAGGGGTCCGGTGCCAGAATGTCTTCCTGACGTCTCTCAAGGTCCGATTCGAGAGCCGCGCTCTCTGCACGTTTAATACGAATGCCTGTAATTAAACTCTAATGCCTGGCTGTAGGTGAAATCTGAGTACCATCCATCCATGTGTGTTCAGGGTTTCTCCTGGACTGCACAGGCCACTGGGGCTTGTTCAGTCTCTGTGTCGGCACACAGGCAGGAGGAACATGGAGGAGTGTGATCATGGGCAGGCCTGTGATAATCCCTCATGTCAATTATGCATAATCCATTGATTAGGCTTTAAATCCCTCCATGAACTCATTCTAGGGTAACTTTAAATATGGAGTCATTTTAAAGTGATATTCAGCTTAGTTAAAGTACGAGTTTAAAATATTAATAAAGTATTAAAATATTATTAAAAGCTAAGTCTGGCCCAAAAATGAAACTTCACTTTTGAAGTGATTCTGTAACAGAAAAGCTTATGCTTATGTGTTTTTAATTCAGGTCAGCAGTTTAATTTAGGATTATTTTGCTCATCCTTATTTATGTCATTAGAACAGTTTGCTTTGGGCGCCAGAAGCTGTCATAATGCCATGTCTAAATGTTACGGCATGATAGTGTATCGCTGAGATTGTACTGGCCTTAAGTATTTCTAATGTTTTAATTGGACCTCAGCCGTGTTCCCTGTGCTGCCTGGGTCAGGCTCCATAACCCAGACTGGGATCTGCTGTTAGAAGACGGACGGATGGATAGATGGATTGATTGATTGATTGATTGATTGATTGATTGATTTTAGCAGTTGGCCCATTAAGAAAAAAAATTATATCTCAAGAAAGTTTTTCTTTCTTTCTTAGGGGAAGGGAAGTGACTGAAGTGTTCCTTGGATGATGAATTAGCGTCCCATGACCCGCTTACTGTAATATGGTAACTCTGAAGGCAGCAGGGGCTGAACCCGAGTCGCAGTGACCTGCTTACACAGTTTTTAGAAAGGAAGTTGACGTCACATCATCCTGAACCCCTGCAGTTTGTGCACCCCTGTGACCTGTAGGGCTTCGTTAACATTTTATTCGTTTAGCAGGCGCTTTTATCCAAAGCGATATGCACATTTTTGAAAAGGCGGTGTCAGCCAGTCCCGGCTGTCCACGGGTCTGACGGTAAATTTGTTATGCCGACCCTGGGATTTGAACCGTTAACCTTCTGATCCTGCCCCGCTGAGCCACGCGCTCCCCGAGCGCGTCACCCACGCGGTCAGCGCTGATCTTTTTTGGTCTGTGAAGCTGACCTCTGTTTTGTCCCGTTGTTCGAATGCCCTTCAGGACCTCACCAGCTGGGCGGAAGAGGAGGAGGAGGAGGAGGAGTGTGGGGGCACGTCGGCCATGACGCTGACGGAGCTGGAGCGGCTGCTGTGGGGGCGGGCGGAGACCCGGGCACAGAAGCTGGTGCTCCTGCAGGTTCTGGCTGCAATGTGCCAGGGGATCCCCCACGTTCTGCTGCTCCGCAAGCCAGCGCAGGTCAGCCAGCCATTACAGCAGGGCGGCAGGCAGGGCCATGCTGGCACCCCACCCACACGCGAGGCCGCGCTGTCCGCTAATGGCTTCACCCTACATGAGTTAGCCTGGTGTATTATGGGTGAAAAGCCTCATGCAGCAGAAGGCTGATTTTCTGAAAAGCAGGGCTGTGTGCAGCGCTGTGGGTCACATGACAGCGCTGTGGGTCACATGACAGCGCTGTGGGTCACATGACAGCGCTGTGGGTCTCATGACAGCGCTGTGGGTCACATGACAGCGCTGTGGGTCACATGACAGCGCTGTGGGTCACATGACAGGATATGTGTATTTGTTACCCTATCGAGGAGCTCATCTCCTTCTTATCTGTGTTAATAAAAGGATTCCTTTAAGTAGAAAGATTTAAATCTTCTGTGAGTTATCTTAAATTACCTGCCCGAAAGAGGTCTGTTCCCTTATTAACAAGAATGAGGGCATTATGAATTAGACCTGTCAGTGTTGGGCTCTATTAAGGTTAGAAATGTGTGATTTGTCTGGACTTTCGCTTAATTAGTCTTGTCTTGAGACACGTCTTGTCTTTCGTTAATTGCCCTCTACGTCTGTAAGTTTAGCTCTGAGAGAGAGCTGGCAGCTCTGTGTTACACATCCCTTACAATTCTGTGGCCTATTTTGTGCTGTTTTCAGATATAACTCCACAACCAGCATGTCTGTGTGTGTGCGTGTGTGCGCGTGTGTTTCTGTGTGCGCGTGTGTTTCTGTGTGCGTGTGTGTTTCTGTGTGCGTGTGTGTTTCTGTGTGCGTGTGTGCGCGTGTGTTTCTGTGTGCGCGTGCGTGCATGCGTGCATGTGTGCGTGTGTGCGCGTGTGTGTGTGTGTGTGCCCACCTGGATTTGAGGACAGGATTTGCTATCTTATGTTGTAGCATCTAGGTTAAAACCACTTTTTCACATTGTGTATGTTTGTGTGTGTGTGCTTATGTGTCTGTATCTGTGTGTGTGTGTGTATTTGTGTGTGTGTGTCTATCACTGTGTGTGTGTATGTGTCTGTATCTGTGTGTGTGTGTGTCTGTATCTGTGTGTGTGTCTGTGTGTGTGTGTGTGTGTCTGTATCTGTGTGTGTGTGTATTTGTGTGTGTGTGTGTGTCTATCACTGTGTGTGTGTCTGTGTGTGTGTGTCTGTATCTGTATTTGTGTGTGTGTCTGTGTCTGTATCACTGTGTGTGTGTGTGTCTGTATCTGTATCTGTGTGTGTCTCTCTGTATCTGTGTGTGTGTATCTGTGTGTGTGTCTGTATCTGTGTGTGTGTGTCTGTGTCTGTATTACTGTGTGTGTGTGTGTCTGTATCTGTATCTCTGTGTGTGTGTGTGTCTCTCTGTATCTGTGTGTGTGTGTGTATCTGTGTGTGTGTGTCTCTCTGTATCTGTGTGTGTGTGTGTATCTGTGTGTGTGTGTGTGTGTGTGTGTGTGTGTGTCATGCTCCCCCCCAGGTGCTGAGGTTCGTGGAGGCCATGCTGCAGAGGGCCTGTTCAGGCCTGACACCAGGCTCCGTGGGGCCTGTGGAGGACCAGACGCTCAGCATGGCTATGGGTCTGGTGGCCACCATGCTGACTGGGGCTGTGGAGGTGCGTATGGAGCCTCTCGCCTCGCTCGTTAACCTACATCCGCTGGGGTGTGTTGCCCTGAGCTGCCCCAACACGATGGCTGCGAGCTTCTGCACCTTTCTCACGTTTAACTCCCCACGCAGTCCTTTCAGTCACAGCACACTTAGGTCGTGATTGATAGCTGACCTGGAATGCAGCGATGCTGCAATTTCCATTTACATAGTACAAGTACATTGGAATTCTTTAGTTTTTGCATATCCCATCATGCTCTCCTTTGAGACACTGACACATTTATATGGGTGAGAACATAGCTTGGGCTCTCTGAGCACTGGGTCAGCCGTTCCTCTGGCACCCCTGGAGAAGTTTTCGGGGAGCCTTGATTGGGGTCCAATAGAGATGTGACTATATTTCCAAAGACAGAATTTAAACCTACTGATCACAGCCACAAAGGTACAACCCGCTGAGCCACACACTGCCCCCTTGTGTTCCCTAAATATAATGCAGGGTTGACATGGTATGACCTTGTCCTTGGATATTAAGTGTCCTTCAGATTCCTTGTTTAAAAGGCTTAATTTGAGGGAATGGTGGTGCTTCTCTTTAGTCCTCTTAATCTTCTCCACATGATATCCGCATTGAGGTTGAGTTGAACGATCACGCTGCTTTAGGGCTGTAGTTCTGGGATCTTGGCCAGATGGCGTGAGAGTTTAATCTAGCTGTGCGGTTTCAGGTGAGGGTGGGGCTGGGCGTGATGCGGGGCGGGTACTGCTGGTCACCCCCGTACTTTGGGGTGTTTGGACAAGAGGCCGGCCTCATTCTCGGCCCTCGTCAGAACCCTTTGTGAGTCACATCATCTGGGCGTCTGATTTACGATGCCCTAGGTGATGCATGGTGATTGCGTTAGATATGATTGGATTGGATTCAGCTTTATTGCCATTTTGCAAAGTACAACTAAACAAGACGAGGTGGTGCTGGTGCATGCCCCCGCAGCTCGGTGCCAGCGACCTCGCCCTCGCGTCCTGCCTGCTGCAGCCTCTGGAGCTCATCTGCCAGCGACACGCTGATCCGGTCATCCGTGAGCTGGCCTCCGACCTGCGGGTGGCGCTGGCCACACGTGGAGCCTTCTGTCCCGACACGGTGACTCAGGCTGCCCGTCGGCATGGACCTCAGGCCGGCACGGATCCGAATAGCCGAAGCGAAGCCGCTGCGGAGAAGTGTGCTACCACAACCGTTAGCCACACCGCTCCTGACTCCCAGAGAGACCCCTGCGTGACCTTTGACCCCAACGGCTGTGCCAGGCCCGGTCACCGAGCCGCAGCTGCCCCAGATTCTGGGTCACTGTCGGACCAACTCAGCTCCAGTGGGCCCCGTGTCCCACTGTCCGGTCGGACCTTCTCGGAGTGCATTCTGGAAGCATGTGACCCCGACATTCCGACCCGAGCCTCAGCTCTGCGGACGCTGGCCCGGGCGATTCGGGAGCGAGAGCCAGAGGCCCTGCGCTTTCAAGAAAAAGTCCTGATGGTAAGATTGACACTGAACCATATTGGAAAAACATATTTGAAAATTTTCCAGTGAATATTGTGTTATTTATAAAACAAAGCCGGAAAATTTCACAGGTTTACTTTGGCTAGTTTATTATCATCTAACAATAGTCTGTCAGGTAAGTCGATGACGTCATTAGTTGTTCCAAGAGACACAAAGCAGCGCCGACAAATCACTCGCATACAGAATATTTTTACACAGAGGCAGACAAATATCTGTTGGTGATCAGTTCTTCTTTGCTTTTCATCTCCTCACTCGCTTTTACTACAAATTTGCCACATGAATGATTGACCAAAATCATTATGATTGACAGAGACTGCATGCTGAGCTCATGAAAAAACAATGGCAGGAACGATCTTTAATATCGCTAAGCTTTGTTTCGTATGACTGAGTAGAAAGTTTTTAGCGAAACTTAACTATGGTCTCAACCCAGCTGACTGTGTCGGTCCATGCGAGGTGACGTCTGCAGAATATGCAGTGTTGATATTAACATTGCACATGGTGCGGGCCGAGCAGGGACCGAAGTCTGCTTTGTGCATGTGGGGAGATTCTGGAAAGTTCTCTTTCTGACATTTTGGAGGACACAGCGGGCCGAAGGGATGCAGGATCATTGGCTGCCTTGTGACTTGGGTGCTTTGATAGCTATTTTTAATGTGTGTCTCGCGGCTCTTACGGGTGGCTGGGCTCGAGCCGGAGGCCGGGTCTGTGCTTTGATCTCGAGCTCCGCGTTTTTCTACCGCACTGCCCTTGAAGTGTCTTCCATGCGCCAATTGCTGTCTGTCATCCGCAGAGCTCTTCTATGTGCATGTTTTAACTGACCCTTATTGTGCTTAACTAGGATAATTAGACTGCGATTACAGAAGGGATCTTGGGCAGAAAATGGGACTACAATGATGTTGGGCTGTGGCAGACTGTGAGGGGTAGGGGGCTTTCACAAGTGAGGTTTAAAGATGGGGGAGCCCCCCCCCCCCGGTGTCTCATTTAATATTCCCTGTTATTTCTACCCCCTTGGAAGCCCCCCTGCCTGGCACACAGCCTTTGGGATTTTAGAACTATCGGGG